CTGAAATAATAATTCATTCCTCTGCCCAGAGGTATGTGAAGTCTCATCTTCCACTGGAATGGCTTACTTAAAAGGAGATAAAATTATTACTTGTAGGTTTTTTCAGTCATACCTTTTGTAGCTGTATCACTTTGCTTGGAATAATTAAATATCCGTTGCACCAAAAGAGTTACCAATCCATGCTTTCTTCCTAGTTGAAGAGTTCCTCAGCAATTCTAGCTCTGTTTTGTAAGAAAGGAGAGGATTTACAGCGGTGATCTAGATGAAATAAGGCATCTCCTCTATTATTAGAGACCATCCAATCCATTATTAGAGACTCAGATCATTTGGAAAATGAAGATATAATCTTTCTCTCACTATCACTTCTGGCTTGACTATTTTTTTCCTGACTTATGCTGGATTTCAAGCATACTTGGTTCTCTACATGTGGAGGGAGTGTGGGGACCTTACTTGGGACTATAAATTTCACTAGGTAATGAAACATCTGAAACAATCACTGCATTGCTGGGTGCTTTAATACTCACATTCTTATTGTGTGTTGCCAACTATTACTTCTATACTATAGCAATGGGTAAATAGAGTAATGAGTAACCCTTACCTAAGGAAAATGCCTTGGGGCATTGTGGTTCTTTTGGATTATTTTAATTTTATCTATTCACATTTATTATACTTAAGGCTGTATTAACTGCACCAAAGCTATATTCTCAACTTTCATCAATAATAACTAGCATTTCTTACCCAGATCAAGGGCATGTGTAGTCTTTAATATCTACTTCACGTAATTTTTGAGAAATAGAGCATGCTTGTGTATAAATCCCCATCCCTGGAAACATTCAAGGCCAGGTGGGACGGGGCTCTGAGCAACCTGATGTACTTGAAGATGTCCCTGCTCACTGCAGGGGGGGGTTGGACTAGATGACCTTTAAAGGTCCCTTCCAACCCAAACTATTCTGTGATTCTATGATAAATAACAGCATTGAAAATGCCAAAAGGCTGAAAATGTACTAGCTCATCTGTCCTGCCTCTTTGTGTCAATGACAGAGTGCTCACTCAGTTGTTTAGGTTTATTGCAAGGGTTTTGGACAATGCAACTTCAGTCCATCTGTTGAGCAGACTGTTCCACAAGTTAATATCTCAATGTCAAGATCATTTTCTTGAGATTGTCTATTTTTTATTTTTATTTCATTATTCCGTGTTTTATCTTCATGTCCCAGCCTCTAACGCATGTGGTTATTGCTTTTATTCATAGTTTATTATGTCTCCTTAACTACCAATCTGATACGCTGTACTTATTTAGCTAATTTGTATTTCCTTGTAAATCTGTTCCTCCAGCACTTTCCTGTGGTAGAGTC